TAGACGGCGACTTCGCCTCCAACAACGGCGGATGGGGCTTCAGTGCCTCCGTCGGGGTGGACCCGCAGCCCTATTTCCGTATCTTCAACCCGCTTCTGCAGAGCGAGAAGTTCGATCCGGATGGGGAGTATATCCGGAAATGGATTCCCGAGTTGAAGGATATCGAGGGAGCTGCCATCCACGACCCGTATAACAGGGGAGCGGGCGATCAGGCGAAGAAGGCTGGGTATCCGAAACAGATCGTGGACCATAAGGAGTCGAGAGAGCGGACGCTGAATGCTTACAAGGCGGGAATTGGACGTGATACGGCTTGATCTAGTTAGTCATGTAGGTTATTGAAAAACTGATGATACCCTTTGCCAGCTTCAAGTGATCAGTTTCATCTTCACTCAGCTTTCATTTAATCCCAAGAATCAACACTACGAGCTTGATCAGTGTTTTAATAGAATCGTAGCATAAGCAACACAAGCAGTCGCACGAGCACAGCGGACACGGACAATGATTTTACTGATGTTATTAGTGTATGACCCGTATCTGTACCATGATGATCGGCTCGAGCACCACGGCTTTTTCAAGGCCACTAATTGATCTCCGGCACGGGGACTATCGAGGTAGCCCCAGACTCCTCGCCCATAGAGTCACTCGGGGGTGGGTGCGAGAAGACTTAGCCAGCCGGCAAGTTTGTGATTGGTCACCTCCACAGTTGAGAGCACACGGCTGGAGCATCGGGGTTTGGGTATGAGTGTTTTTGTTTCGTATTGTCACTGTCCCAGGAAATCGGATTGGGACGGCCGTCTCTCTTTATCGACTAAGCTGCAAATACCCCGGGTGTCTTGCCATGTCAACCTAACCACGAATTTCCCCATGAACGCCGTTCCCTGCGAGAACAAAGATCAGCATTGTGTCGTGTTGTGTGCTGGGCGCTGCGCTGTGCTGCGCTGCAGTGGTGGGATGTGCCATACCATCAAGATGCAATCGTTTATCGGTTGGCGCTCCAGACGCTCTTCAGGAGACCGTCCTTCTGGGTGATGCGGTTGAAGGCATCGTCGCTCTCGCCCATGGCACGAACGAATCCGCTCAGGGCGTAGACGTGGTTCTCGCTGGGGATCTGGCGTCCGCTCTCATCGAGCTTGGCAACGGAAATCTGGACACTGGCGTGGTCGGTGGCCTTGATCACTGTTGCGTCCAATCATTAGTCATCCGTAGAATAACAGATAGCACTCGTGTGTATGTATTTCGGATCGTCGGATTCGATTTGCCCAGCTAAAGTCGGTCGTGATCTGTGTGTGGTGGGGATGGTAACCTACGGCGGCCAGTTGCGCTGCACTTGCGCTACAGAGACGGTCAGTGTTCCTGCGATAGGACGTCAGAGGGTGCAAAGGCTACATACCGGGACGTAAAGGTCGACGAGCTCTCCACGGTCGTTCTCCATTTTGGCGGTTTGAGGTGAGTGGACTGGTAGGAGGTCGGAAGTGTAGGTGGTGATGGAGTTGGTCGCAAGAGTGCCGATTTCAGTAATTTTTGACCCAGGCTGGCAGTTGGTGGGCGGGATGTGCAGCGGGTAGTGGGGTGGCCGTACCTCCGTACCCTGGGCTCGGATAAGGTCACGTGTGTGGTCACATGTTTTCGAGCTTGTTTCGCGCGGGTGGCCCTGCTACCCTGTCGAGCCTGTACTGGCGAGACTGGTTCTGGCTGCGTGAGCGTGAACAGCCCCACCTCGCCTGCTCTCTAGCGCAGCAGCGTAGGCGTACTGCACTGCAGCCTATCACAACCCCGCGGAAGCGGCCTAGATTCCACCTGGTTTGGGCGGTGCCTTTGTCACGGTGGCGCGAGCGCCCTGTAGACAGCGAAGCCGGGGCGGACGACAGGGCGCATACCTTACCTAGGTAGGCACACATCAACACCACGACCCTGTCTCGCCTGTGTCTTTATCATCTCTTGTACGCCTGTGAAAAGATCCTCGTCCACTCCAACCCAACCATAGTGGCGTAGACCATCTACTTACGCACACCCCATCGATGATTTGGCTCATTCAACCTGCTGCTCTACTTCCTCCGTTGCGCCAGGCGCGCATCCTTCTGCCTGCAGCGTCTGGTGGCCATGGCCTCGACCAACCTGATGATGTCTTCACCACATAGACCTCGCGCTAATGGACCAGTCTCAATGTCCTCTTCCTCGCCATGTCTTCCATCCCTAGATGAGATATTCCTGAGGAAGGGCCCTAAGAGGCCGCCTTTGTTGGCCGAAGCGCATGGTGCACCTATACCAGCTATCGCCCCAACTGAATTCACGAGTGCTGCTGCTATCCTGCGACAAGCCCCTGAGATCGATATCGACACCGAGACGATAACCAGCTCACCCCCGCGTAGAGCCAGGACGCCGACCAAAGGCCGCGGGAGGATCCCTCCGATTGCCAATACCTTGACCAACAGTCCGCCTTCGGCCCAGCCACCCGTCGTTGTCGGGTCTTCGTCCCCACAGGACAAGCCATGGCAAAAGTTCAAGAGCAGAACATCCCCAGAACACGATGACCAGCCCCCATCTCCCACGAAGCCGAAGTGTCTGACATCGAAACCGAACACCAATAAGCGATCTACCCGCACTAAAGAGATATTGTCCAAGCATTTCACCCCCAAGGCAGGGGACCTGCTTCCAAAAAATAACCCGAAAGGAAAGAAGACTAAGATACCAGTAGAAGAATCCGCTGAGGAGGCAGTCAATGCTGCAATCGTTACGATAGTGCCTGCTGTTCCTCGTCGGACCGACTGGACCCCTCCGAAAGCCAATACGCCGATCGCCTTGGACCACGACTCTGACCACCGAGAGCTTTGCTCTTCGGTGGATAAACCGTCAATATCTAAAGACGTATTTCAAACATTATATCACCAGTATGGGAACCAGGATCTGGAACTACCTCCGGCCCCGCGTCCACAACCGGGGGTTGAGGTTTTGAGGAAACGGAAGCGGATCGAGATGGTCTCGACGGTTCAAGAAGAGGGCAGCAAATTACCTCAGGACGACATACAAGCCACTGTCCTTCCACGATCGAACGAGGCGAAGCAGTCGAAGCAGCCCAAAGTATCTGCCCCCCAAAAGAAGACGAGAACAATTACTGAGTTAGCACTGGCTCCGTTCGCAGCACCAATTGAAGTCGAAGGGCCCGAAACCAACGAATCGATGCTGAGCTATTTCGATGACGACGGTGCCGTCAAGGCCTTGGTGGAGCACCAATCTACCGTAATGTCTCATAGGAAGCCCAAAGCTAAAGAGAGCAAGAAGCCTCCCAAAACGAACCGCAAGAGGAAAGTCGGCACACAAGCCAACCCGGTATTGCTGTCGCCAAGCTCTGCATTGAAACAATCTTCAAATCAGGATTTCATATTTGGGACCTCCAGTCAACTGATGCGAGAAGATTCGCCAACGATGTTAAGGGATCTTCAAGCTGCCATCCAAGCATCTAATGTCCCAGGCTCCGACCCATTCGATGACGACGTGGGCCGACGCCTATGGCAGGCCGGTTCGCGTGATGAGGATGGGGAACTTCTCACAATGGAAGTCGTCGACCTGCAGCACAACACTATCATAAAGTCTAATACCACTACTACGCCAGGCGCCCGAAGTTTTGTGGATATTGATGACTTATTAGACTCCCCTCAGCCGGCGAGCCCGCTCACTGATGCGCGCCCAGATCTTGCGCAGGCGAACTCTCACTTTTTCCAATCTCAAAGTGCGGAATCTAGCTCAAGCGGCAAGCAGCCTGACCAAGATCATTCGGCCATCGCAGCAAATAGTGAACCTCGGCCCAAGTACGAATTGTTCACAGATGCTCAACTGAGTAAGCAGATTTTATCCTATGGCTTCAAACCCGTAAAGAAACGAGCCGCCATGATCGCACTGCTAGATCAGTGTTGGACAAGTAAACATCAGAGCACCGTGGCAGACTCAGTACAGTCCGTGTCGACTTCTACTCGTAAATCAGTCCCAACAACCACTGAATCTGTTGGCGGCGCACCGAGTAAAGCGCCGGTGAAGCGGGGGCGGCCAAAGAAGAGTGATGACACAACCAAACGGGTCTCGGATCCGACCCCAGCGGCCAAACCAAATCTCAAGAAGCCGCGCGCAGGCACTAAGAAGGGGAAAGCCAATGCCACCACCCCCGCAGCGGAACTGCCCATTCCCGAAGCAAGTCCTAAACGTCCACGCGGTCGTCCCAAAAAGACGAGTAACACCTCTATCGAGATCCCAGACTCTGAACATGAAGATTCATCCCCTCTATCAGCTGCCGATGCGGTTTTCTCCTCGCCTCCCCCAGTAGATCTATCAATGACTGACGAGGGCGACACGTCTCTTGCCTTGTCACCCACCACCGATGAGCAGACGGAGCTGTTCAAGCAAATTACCAAGGCTGTGACTTCGGCGCCCCGTACAAAGGACCCATCGAAGCCGTCCTGGCATGAGAAAATGCTGCTCTACGATCCTATAATCCTAGAGGAGTTTGCGTCTTGGCTGAACGGTGGGGAGTTGACGCGAGTTGGGTACGACGGGGAAGTATCAGGGGTGGATGTGAAGAAGTGGTGTGAGAGTAAGAGCGTGATATGTCTTTGGCGGGTCAGTAGCAGAGGAAAGGAGCGTAAACGGCTTTGATGCATTGATTATTCATGGATAGACGAGCTACGAGACATGATGAATGTTGGATTACTGTTTTGAAATATCGTATTGGTAGATAGATACCCTTTATAATAGCGCAAGCAAGCTATAGTACAAATTTTGTTACATTGTGACACTAGGTACAGAAAGCAAGCATACAGTATGCCAGTAAAAATAATGTTTATTATCACAAGCCCGTAGGACTCGTTGTACCTTTGGAATAAGTAACCCTCTTTAGTATAACAATCATGTCTTAGGTATGAAAAGCTTTTATAGAGAATTAGAACCACAGAGACACGTGTGTAAGTTTCGAGATTTAAAAAAAAAAACGCATGTGGACAAAAGCACAAAATTGAGAGCTGCAGGATTCGAACCTGCGCGGTTTCCCATCGCGGGATTTATGTTAACCTAGCATTGATAGCGCGGTAAACCTAAACACGACGCCTTAACCACTCGGCCAAACTCCCTGTACAATGATCTTGTGGTTGTGGTGCACAGGTAAGATGTGATAGAGAATATATCCGTAGCTGCTTTAATAGCAACAACCTCTCTACACGTTTAAGTACTCATGGGATAAAGCCAACTAGAATTATAATCAACTGTCTCTTCGATCATCGCGTTTCTACCTAAGGGCATACCTTACCTTGTAGGTACTAAACAACCCCGCAATCGTAAAGTTGATAGTGCGGAGGAGCAGATCTATGTGTACCCCTCATATCCATTGTTGGCCCCTCATCTCAGCTGCGCTCTTAGTAGAGGCATCTCAAGAAAACGTCAATCGCATCAACAGAAGATCATGGCTCTGATCAAGTACATAAGGGAAACAGATTGGATGATTGGCGGTCATTGCGCGAAAGGTATCCGTAATATGGGCGACCGACACAACCACATGGTTTGCTTGTTATCTCGAGGCTGCACTCTTATGACTGCGCCGAGGAACATCGGTGATTATTCCAATCTATACCTGCTACCTAGTCTAATATGCATCCATTTTTGTGTGAAGAGGACTCCATAGCTCTTAAGGGAGCTCGCTACTGGATTATTTTTTGCTGTGCAGCATCGCCCAGTTGTCTGAGATTACAACATCTCCTTCTTGCCAAGCAAAGCGAAGACATACCCGCCGATCTAACAAAAGCCTGTCGACTAGTGATACCAAACTCTGGGAGCCGTTATCAATGCTGATGTTCGCGGAGCCGTGCCAGGGGGGATTCCAGCGAATGCATGGTGCATTTAGGGTTGGATGATTAAAGATAAGCGGGATGTCCTTCTTGGTGTTATTGAGGCGACCGGGGCTATGACACGTCCACCTGATCTTTTCCAGCCTTTTGACGTTATAGGCTTGGGGGAGATAGCGAACAAATAATTCTGAAGATGCGAAAAGCGTCTGAGCATCCATGAGGCCATCGGAAGCTTTCGGAGTTAGGTATTGGAAGTGCGAGGTTTTGTCAGGGCTTTCGGACTCGTCCGTGTTAATGTTGAGCGGGCCATTCTTACACGAGGACGTTGCTTCAACTAACACTGATACAGAGGCTCAGTTAGTTAAAGTTCACATCGTTTTATCAACAGCTAAATCTCAGGCAAATGCCCAAATTCGCAAAGTTGAAGTATCAAGGCTGGTTTTGGCTTACCTCTGCTATGATGGGGTTCATGGCTGGTTATGTTCGTGATATCGTGAAAGGCGCCTGATATTTCCGGCTCGGGATCATGATCTCTCGAAATAAACGTGTGTTGGTCCTTATTAGCACCACGAAAGCCTCGTAGTACCACAGGTGAGCAGGTCATGGCAAGCTTCTGGACCTTCTGCATATCCACCATTGATAGCGTATAAGCAGAAGTTGGTTTGGCAGGTCGAATCACGATACCGCAAGGATATAGATACTCGAATATCAGATCCAGGGGAAACCAATCGAAGACATCCGATCGCTGTCGGAAGTAGCTTGGCCGTCCTTCGACGTATACGACGTCGTGTGTCATTGCTGGAACCAAAATGGCATGCGACATCGAGACGCACCCGTCTGTATTTCGAACCACGGCACCATGCCAAGGGGTCATGACAATGTCGTTATCTTGTGGCAACATGATGATCGAAACCTTTGCTGTGTCATTTGAGGGGTGTATTGAGAGACGAACAAAGTCTGGATATCTGTTCTTTACGGCCTGAGCAAAGGCCTTGACGATTACCGATTAGTTAGACGATCCATGGTAATACTTCAAAGGCTTACTGACCTTTCCTCTCACAATCATTGCTTTCGCAATAACACTGTTCTCTCTCTCAGTTTGCGACCGAGAGCGAGCAGTGCGATCATCGCGCTCGCTCATCAAGAATTTCTTGTAGCCCTTGTAGGTCCTCGAAATGTCTGGATCATTGGCTATGGCACTCAACACATCAAATCCGACGGGTGTATTTGCTTCGAGGAGCTTGCGGTACGCAGATACCCTGGCGAGGTAATGGGCTTCGTCGAGTGTTTCGGACTCGTGCCCGGCACCGACAAGGTCACAAATGCGTGAGAATCGAATATAGTGACACTCATTCTGCTCTGCCATCTTTCTCAAATGCTGACCGTACTGCCATACCTCCTGGTCCGAGACATCAAGTATATCTATAGCAAACGTTAACATATGCGACACAAAGACTGGAGAAGCAACACAACCATTGTATGTAATTCCATCGGAAACAATCGTCAAGAACGTATTAGAATCGGTCGCGTCTTTAATCGATAGACAGAGCCCATTGAGATGCAGCAACGAGAGTCGCTCGGCTTCGTCCGGGAATGGCCCCAGAACCTTTTTCGAGCGGTTTGATGACTTGAAGGGAAAGGCAGGAACCACAAGCTCGATCGGCACCTTTCGCTCGAGGAAAGTCTGGATTTGTGTCTGCGAATGCAATATCGACTCGGGAAAATCCCAGTCGTTCTTGTAATCGATACGGTAGCGGTTGAGCACAATGGCAGCAGCCTGAGCTCGCTCGCTGATCGATTTTCGAGGGCGTGAACTCGATGCCAAGGGCTTCACGTCGGGCACCGAGTCCCTAGCCTGTAGATTGTCCTTGGTGCTTCCATTTTCCATCTGAGGTTCAACTTCTTGTTCTCGGACAGGCCATGGATCAAACCAGCCTGATTGGCCACCCACCACTCGGTCGAGGTGCAGTGAAATTGGAGCTACAATCTGAGTAGAAGCGAGTGACATGGCGAAGGTCGGCCAAGGTCGGTTGTAGTGTACGCGTATAAGATCTCCCGACAGCGTAAAGGGTTGGGTGGTTGTGAAAGCAAAGGTTGGGGCTCGTAGGACCTTGCGTGTGAAACGGGCAAGGGAAGCTCCTGCATCGTTTATCCGTAAAGACGGGAAGTCAAGACCTGGTACCGAAACCTTATTTTTCTTATATAATATATGCTTAGGTAATTCACAAGGGTGAGGTATCGCCACCGCATGCCGTATTCCGTTTTGCAAACCAAATTACAGTCATTTTCCCCTTTGCTAGCTGTATACGATATATTTCCCTTCTATCCCTCCGTTCCTCGTGTCGCGAATTCGATAGCCCAACATATAGGCATGAATCGATTGTTGAGAGGTGAATAAAAAGACTAGGCGGTTTGATTCATTCGAGCTCTTGTGTTGTTCGACGGTTATCTGTCCCGAGCGTTGACAGCGCTCAATCGCCGAGGATGTAGCGGAACATCACTACACTGCCGATAGTTACCATTCGAGAATACTGTAGGTTTCATGTCTTTCTTGACGCTTCTCCGTTAAGATTGCCTCTTTTGGCACTAATAACGTGTGGCGAGATTAAATACCCGTGGACTTAAACGATCAATTTAGCCAGGTGTGGGTTTGTGAGAATCTATGCAAGTATCGGCTCGTGACAGCACTTGCTCTCCGCACCAGCAATCATGCCTGCACGCGACTGCCGCCAATAGAACTCAGGCCTTCCATACTCTGCTACATGTGTATCCATTAACCGAAATGAAATACGTATGAGGGTTTGATGAATGTTCTGGGATAGACAGCATTTCATTAACTTATATTTCTCATGACCCCCAGTGAGACTTGCCACACCCCTAGATTACCTACACGATTGATTTTAAGTCGGTTTTGTTCTTGCTTTTATGTCGAAAAGAGAAGGGGAAGAGGCCACTGCCAAGGGATACGATTGTACATTGTAATCTACGGAGATGATTCTATAGCCTACATTTTACCTACCAGCCTCTGCTTATACTGGAAACCTTGAGAAACATCAGCCCGTAAGGCAATCATATGTGAGTCCGTGTTTGAGCTTGAAGCTCCAAGTTAAGCGACACGCCTAGATCATTCCTTGGGACAAAACCACATATCTACCTGTGAACTTTCGTTAGAAAGTACAAACTCTAATTCGTTGGAATCTTAAGCTGAACTTCTTCATTGCCTATCACACCGAGTAGCTAAGGCGGATATATACAAAACATCGGTAAACATGCGACAACATAATTCAAAAGATCACGATACGCGTATGAGACCATTGCGTCACCGGGATGGCTTATCGGACATGTCATCTGAAGATCCAGTTAGCAGGTAATAATTCAACGAAGGAGCCGAAGAGTCTGAGTGAACAGCCGAGCCTTTGAGATAATCTCTGGGTTTCAGAGAGTTCTGGATCCCCGCAGTCGTCTTGATTCTTTGACAAGCAACATGTAATGAAATTTATTGGGATATTGGGCTGGACTAGATGTGCCATGGTATTAGTTTACACCAGAATGATGAATACAGCCAAGTAAGTTAGCAGTCGGAGAGAGGAGTTGTGGGCTGGCGTAAGTTCTATTGATTGCTTTACTTAGGTTGCCGGGAGGTTCGGGTGTCTTTAGCTCTAACAAGACAGCAGCCATATGAGTTTGAGATCCTCATTATGAAATAATTTTTAAATGTCATATGTCCTTGACGAATTATCATGGTATTCGCATTTCAATGCGCATGACCGCGATGGCAATTAAGTATCAGGTATTACATCTATTGAAGTTTTAAGGTGTTTTAATAGTTAGGAAAGGCTCCTTGGGTATCAATCACCACATGATAACATTTCAGTACGCAATAATGATGACCCCTGAGGAAATGGCGTCACTGATATAAACGGCCTAGATCTATAGCGGATAATTATCACAAGCTAAAAAGTTTACGTCTTCCAAGAAATAGCACAATGTTAACTTCAGAGGACTTACCACTGGAAAATAAAAAGAGAGTCCGGAGTCTGCAAGAGAAAATGGTGATAACTTCTAACTTTCACCTCAACAGTACCCGGGTCTCGAGCTTTCTATTGGCCTCGGTTCTCCCACAGTGATCTAAGTCTCAAACTCGGCCACCCTCTTACTAATTTCAGCGGTGCTAGTCCCAAGGCTAGCCGGCACTGCTGATTAACCCAAAGTGTCTCACATCAACCACAATGCAAGAAACGCTCAACACCAGGGCACCAGGGAAAGCTCGTCTTCGGACTCCCTCGTTA